TTTTCTTTGTAAAAACTTCAATTGAATTTTAATAAAGTTAAAGGCATGGCCTCACTGTTAATATTTAAAAAAAAAATAAAAAATAAGTTAATTTATATATACTTACAATGTGTTATAAAGTTTAGAATTAACATACTACATATAAAATATTTTTGTACAAATTTATACTTCTAGTCAATATTCTTTTTACAAATATCATATTATAATTAAAAATTATAAGTAATTATATATTTATATATAAATAAATAATATTTATAAATTATGGATGTGGCGACCTATTGAAGTGGTCAGGTTGTCAACCTTCCAAGTAGTAGATTAGGTGTTCTAATCCTATTAATAGTAAAAATTTAGATAATCACCTTTGTAATATTCATATTACAGCAACTGTTACTAACAATTGGGTTAGAATATCTGTAATAACAATCACACTAGCATGACTGGCAGGTTATAGAACATCTGTGCAATTTTGAAGTTATACAGAGAAATGCAAACTGACAATTGGATGGTGCAAACACTAGATAAGTTCTTGTAACCATGTAAATACATTGAAATTGGATAACAAGAAGCCATTTAGAAAGACCAAGTAGAAAGGTAGCCAGATCTTTAATAGTACTATTATAAAGGTTAACTTAGAGAAACAAATATTTAGGTTTTAGTAACCAAACAGGCAAGAACCTTTGGATTGGAAGTCTTGAAGGTATTACCAACCAGATTGTCAGAACAAACTAAAAGAAAAAAATATTGAAATGATCTAATATATTAATAGACTAGTTATAGTCTTACATAAGCTATCTTGATTAAGTGTTTGATAAAATTCAGAGGTATACTAAAGTATTAGGATTATGCTATAAAGTAGATGCTAAGGTTTGAGTAAAATTTACAAGGGCATAGCAGTTTAATAGTTAAGCTCTAACTGCAAATATTGATTCTGCTATAGTAATACCTAGGTAAGTTGTAAAAATGAGTACAGAAAGCTTTAAAGAGTTTACCTCAAGGATAAATTAGTTCTAAGGTTAAGATAATAATCTAAACATCTGGGTATAACCCAGTGAGTTAATACCAGTTATAGGTTTAGAGGGTTTAAAGTAGAACATCCAAGCAAAGGTATTAGATACAGCAATTGGTAAGGAATCTTCAGGCAGACTTCTTAAATAGGTAATATAAAAAAGTCATGTATAACCAATTGTATGCTTTTTTGTAATAGTTCATTGAATCACAATACCAATAAGTGATTAATAAAAGTCAAAAGACCAAAGAGATTACCTTAAAAAAAAATATATATATATTTATGAATTATAATTTATAAATTATTTAAGCTTATTTTTATTTTTTTAATAGACTATAAATAAATTTGTAATTCAACAAAGCATTAAAATTTCAAATAACTAAGAGGATATTGCAAGTAGCAATAAGTCTAGTGAAAGTAATCAAGAGCAAACTAATTTTAATAATAAAAAAAATCTTACAAAAAAATTCACACTAGTTGAAATTCTAATTTTTCTAAAATTTATCCTTGGGTTAAAAAATATAAAAATGTCAATAGTGTTATTACTGTATTCTGCACTTGGTATAAGGCAGCAAAAAAAGTTAATCAATTTACTATTAGTATTTAGTCTTTATAAAAACAAATATTTAAAAGACATCTTGCAACTAGCAATTATAAAAAAGCAATTACTAATCAAAATAGTTAACAAACTACAATTATTCAAAGTTTTACTTAACAAATAAGTACTTAAAAATTAAAAATTATATTATTAATGCATAATATTTATTATCTTTCAAATAATAATCAGGCTATAAAACAATATTCAGCTTTATGTCAATTAAATAGTTACAATTAAAAAATTGTAATGAGCTTTATCTTAAAAAAAAACCTGTTGTATTAAAACTGATTGATGATAAAATATCTAGTTTGAGTGAGCAAGAATATGCTTCATATGAAAACCCAATATCCAAAAATATGTTTCTTATATCAATAGTATTTGTTATAGAATATAAAATAATTTAAAAGTTAATTAATTCAATAAATTAGTGCATTTTAGTTAATGAAAGCACTTCATTTAATGCTAAATATCTTGCAATTGTAGCTAAATTTCTTATTAATAATAAACAAGTTTTGCAATATCTTAAAATGATTAAACTTACTAATTGTAATATAAAATCAATTACTAAAGATCTTGAAAGATTTATAATTGCAAATTTATATAATATTAAAAATATATTTTATTTTGAAAATAATGGTGCTAGTCAATACTTGGATATCGAACTGGTATTGCTACATAACTTAAAAAGTATAATCCTTATTTTATAAAAAATTATTGCATAGCATATCGATTACAGAACAAGTTTTATATTTTAAAAAATATAATACATTAGTTAAAGGAATTTATTTATATTTTAGTGTTCTTATAAATAATTATTAACTTTAAAAATAGTACAAAATACTTTAAAAGACTGAAGTTTGTATTATTAAATATTGTATCTACTTGTTGGCTCTCATTCTTAAATGTTATTCATAATTTTCACAGAAGTTTAAAATCAGTTAAAAAAGTTTTATTAGAAAAAGCAATAACTAATCAGCAAGCTGCCTTCTTATTAACAGATATTGATCAAGAATTTGAAATTATAACAATGTTTTTAGCTGACTATTTTTTTATTATAAAAAATTAATATGCATTTTTTAATCAGATTATATTAAATTTATAGATATTTAACAATATATTACTATAACAGTTGATACAATTCAGACTCAATTTATTGGCAGTAATAAAGTTTTACTTACTTATAGTTCAAATTTACTTGAGTATATAGCAAACAATAATTTAAATATTGATCAACTTCTTATATTTATTTTTGAATTTGTATTAGCAATGATTGAGAGTCTTAACAATCACTTTCCAAATAAAGAACTATTTAACATATTAAAAATATTTAATCCTAAACAATTACCAAATTTAGATAGTGTATTATCTAATTATAGCAATGAAGAAATTAGATTACTTGGCAATTTTTATGAATTAAAAAAAATAGGTAGTAATAAAAAGTTTAAACCACTACTTATCAATCAATTATTAATTAAAGAATTAAAATTAGTTAAATTTTTTCTTAAGGATTATCGATCATTTAAATTGTTAATACTTGGAATCTTATTTTTACAAAAACTTCCTTTCTTTTAGATTTTTTTGCTACTTTAACTTTAATTCAGATTTCTTTAATTATTTTTGTTTCAAATACTACAGTTGAAAGAGTTTTTTTTGACAAAATCTTATAAAACCTGGCTTTATAATCAAATAAATATTGATACACTTAATAACTATTTGATGATAGCTTTAAATTGTTTTACTATTGACTTATTTGATTTTAAAAAAGCTTTTAAGCATTGGTCATTAAGAGAACATAGAGTTTAAATTAGAATTAGAATACTTTTATATGCTTTAATTAAATGGACTAAGTTTTATAAATAAATTTTACATACTGAAAAATATTTTAAGTAGTTATATATATTTATTATTTTAATAAATATTTATAATTAAAATTTAATAAAGTTTATTATATAAGATATTTTTATTTAGCAAAATTTACTATTTTATTAATAATTTATTTATTTAATAAAGTATAATAAAGAGTGCTCTCAAGCACTTAATAATTACAACACAATTTTTAATTGTAAAAAAATAATTCAGCCACTTAAGCAAGTCCATTATTACAATAAAAAAAAGATGTTTAAGATTATTTTTTTTTTATTATAATATCATATCATTGGTTAAAATTTAATATCTATATTTTATTTTATAAATTTTCAGTAAATTTCTATAAAAATTACTTCAATTAAAATACTTTTCAAATATTAGATAATAACCTACTATATGGATGAAAATATCTAGTTGAAACATAGTGATAAGTGATAGCAAGATGATCAGGTTACAATTACAGAAATTTATAAGTAATCAGATGCATATGCATAAAATTTATAAGTAATTAGGTCACAATTAGGTACATATATACAAAAATTTATAAGCAATCAGGTACAAATTTACAGATAAAATTCATAAGTGATTAATAAGCAATTTATTATTAGATAAAATTTTCTGATCAAAAAATTACTTTTATTCTTAATAATCATGCTATATCATATAAATGATCAGCTAAATTTTATTTAGCCTAATTAATTACATTAAATAATTACAAAATAGACCTGCAGGTTGATAGCTAAGTGGTTATGCTCCAGGTCACTAATAACAAGGTTGCTGGTTCAAGTCCAACAGGGGATAAAAACTGAGTTAGAACTATAATTGTTGATTAATCATATTTGATGATACACTACAAAAATAGAAAGATCTTTGGTATCCAAATCCTTAAATGATGACAGAACTAACATAAAAAGACCACAATAATTAGAGCTAAGAATAATAATAGAACAAAAGGAATCTCTGATTAAGAATAATCCTAATAAAATTCTAATATAATAGAAACATAAAATAAATATATAGATAGTACCATAAATGTACATAAATAAAAATGTAAATATAAAATATAGGTGGGGTTCTGATAGAAGGTCCTGTGACTTAAAAAATTTGAACTAATAAAACAGCCACCAGCTGCAACCCACTAGTGACTATACAGTAGGAAATTAAAAAAAAAATAATCACAAAATTGAAGATTTTTGCCCATATGCTATAATTATTAAACTTAGCAAAAAATTGCCCAAGAAATCTTTGTTTAAAGTTTGAAAAAAACTATTTAATACTAGATTTTTTTATAAAATACAATCAAAGCTAAAATAATCTCTTACCTATTACAGGTTAATATTTAATAAACTTCTAATTCACAAATTTTAGTAGATTGTATACTGTATTAATTTGTTGAATTTAGCACAAATTCTTATAGCTATAATCTTAATAAGTCATAATACTAAAATTGCACAATATAGTAATTAATATTTTAAAGTCTACTAATATTTAGTTACTATGATTACTAATTAACAGAAGACTTTAAATATTAATTGTCATATTAGACTCATTGATATCAGGATTTTCACTATTGGAATTTTGTGCTAAATCTGAATTTGTTTAATTGAAAAAACTATAATTATAATGCTTGTATATGATCTTAATATTAGCAAATTTCATTAAAATTATACTTAAGAGCATCTAAAGTATTGTAGCAATTAACAAATTAGTAAGAATAATATCTAAACAAATTTCAATTATATCAATATTAGTTTACTAATTTTATTAAAAAAATTATCATAAAAGCAAAATTATATAGCATAAATAATTGTGCACTATTTTATAACTAGAAATTATGTCTAAGAAATGTAATATTTTAATTTAGTGAGTATAATTTTTTTACTTATATAATTTAAATAGTTTTGTCTATAGAATTTACATGCTATATTTTTTTAAGTTTAATTATATTCAGGCAAGTATAAAATCAATTTATTTAGATGTTTATTTATACTTATTTAATATTTTATTATCAATATAAACTAATTAAATTATATTATAATTTATTAATCTAGAAAAATATAAAATTTATATTAATTAATATACATATTTAGTATTTCTTTATTCATATCTAATTTTATTTTGTATCTGTATTAAATTAGTAAATGCTTTTATATTAATTGATATAAATATAAACTTATAAGAAAATTTAGTTATATTCTCTATAAAAAACTGGTTTATAAAACAAGGCTTGAGTTGCAAATTGTAATATAAATAAGAATATATTTTATATAAAATTATAATATAGTTATATACATTATATTACCAGACTTCAGACTTTTAAATTTATAATTTACCAGAATTAATTATGCAAATTTTTTAGACTGTTTAGTAAATTATAAGCTTAAAAGAGTTTATTTCTGATTCCTCTTGGCATTATTTAAATATTTTTAGAAGTATAATAATTATATAATGCATATTTTATTTAATTATATATAAGATATACAAACATTAAATTTAAAATTAAGTATGCAATTTGCACATTAAATTTAAAATTTAGTATGCAATTTGCACTTAATTTTGAGTCTTAATTTTTTTTCTGACTTCAGCTACAACTATATATAATTATTCTTGATAATTTTAATTTATCAATTCAAACTACTATATCTAATGCAACTAAATAACAACTACTAAGCTACTTATATAATATCAATATGTTAACTTGGCAAATTATAAAAATAATACTAATACTAATTGGCAAAGTAGTAGATATAATAGCACAATTGATTACATATAGGCAAGTAAACACACAATCTCATTTTTTACCAAATTTTATATTGATAACTCATCATGGATTACTAATAGTGTCTATCAAATGCTAACAGCACAATGGACCTTCCTTTTGCAATAAACAAACCCAAAAAAAAAACTAATGCAAATGTAGAACTTTTAACTACAAAGCAATAACTAATGAAAAATGTGAAGATTTTCAATCCAAATTAATACTAATATGCTCCAACACAAAATCTCAACAGAAGTAGATAATATAATATCACTAGAAAAATTTGATACAAAATCTACGCTTGTATCATTAATACAGCTCTACAATATATTTCTAACAAATAACAAACAATTAAACATTCTTTTCACATCTTTAGCTCTAAAGCAACAGCTTTATACAATGATCTTAAACTTATCAAAAATATTATCTATAGAGTTAAAATCTCATTTAAACATAATTTCACTATTTTTATACAAACAATAATTGATTTCAATATTATTAATCACAAACTCAACTTTGATATTCCAAATCCATCTGAAAACTCTTTACTATTATTACAATGAATTGATAATGTCAAGCAAGCATGAAAAGCTCTTTTTTATGCATGCAGTATAGAAAATACTTAGAATCTTAAACAGCATATCAATACAGCAATCAACAACAGATGTAAATAACTAATAACACAAACTATCAAAATGATCAATAATATTCTTAATAGACATACATTTTCACAATATTAAAACTAATAATAGTATTATAACTGACCCTACAGAAATACTTTAACATGTCCAACAACACTTTAACACTAAATTCAACACTAATCTATTAATATTATAATATTTAATTAATATTGAATAAAAGAATACCAATCTGAACAGTCCATTAATTGCAACTGGTATGCTTTTCTACTTAAACCTATTTCTACAAAATAAATAATACAAACAATGTAATAATTTCCAAACAACAAAGCTTGTAGGCCACTAGATATAAGCTATAAAATGCTTAAACACTATGGTTCATTAATGTTACAGACTATTACTCAATTATTTAACAAATGCCTCTATACTAACATAATACCTAAATAATAAAAAAACAGCAAAATATATTTTATCTCAAAAAAACCCAACTTTGATGACAATCTTAACAATACTCAACTTATTAGTCTAATTGAACATATCAAAAAATTATATACAAAAAGCTTAACTAATTAACTCTCTACTATTCTATCATCATACCTAATTATCATCCCCTACAATTATGTTACACTACCTGGTAATAGCACAAATACATCTTTACATATTCTAAACAACTTTATTAAAAATGCTAATAGCAATAAAAAACCAATATGGCTACTTTCACAGAACATAATCAAAGCATATTATTCAGTTAAAATTAATCTTTTAAAAAATTACTGCATCAAATTAAACTTTTACAATTCTTAA